GGGCCATCCTCTATTTCAGCTCCACTCATCTTGGTCTGCTAACATTACTGCTGCTGCAATCTGAACTCACGTGCGACAGCAGGTGGAACGTAGCTCACGTGCAAACAGCTCAACTAATAAGAGAAAACGGACGTCATATCGTAATCAAATCGTCATAACGCCACGATGCATATTGTGACATTTTTGCATCGCAATAAATCGTACAACGATAAATCGTTACACCCCTAGCATTAACAAAAACATTTTCTGCAGTGATGCACCTATTTATTTATCTTGCATTAACAACAATAAAGACATTTTAAGTGATGCACATTTATTTAGCATTAACAACAATACATTTTTAGTAATGCACTGCACACTCCTACTAGATTTTTACTTGCCCTCACAACATTTCCACAGGCCTTGAGGCAAAATTAAAAAGATTTGCTGGGCATCAACAACTACAGCAGCTCATAATATGCTCATAAACATGGCACAAATGTTCATAATCATGATGCATTGTTATATTATAATTAGATCTCAACTGAAGCACTGGCAAATGCCCAAGAAATACCCAGCATGTCTGACCGCCAGAGAAAGTGAATCTGCAGTTTTTACTCTCTCACGTCTCATATAAAAGTGACCTTCCCTGAAAACCATCACTGCAGAACGTCTGCGGCTCCATTACTGAGCTAAAGAGTGTTGGTAAACTAAAACTATAACTCTGCTAATGCTAAGAAAATATCTGTTTGTACACGGACAAAGGAAATACAATATAAAATAATACACAGACTTCATATCTCCCCTAACCGCAGACATCTATTTAACCCTTCTAATTCACCTTTGTGTTTAAAACAAGTGTGCCGCAAGCCTGCGTTTGAGTGAAGGTCTCGGCCGTTAGATCGCCCCCTGGGGGCTGGCTGCAGTACAAGTCATAAAGCCCGCCTCCTCCGTGTTCATGAAGGAGACTTGAGCCCAAATAAAAAAATTAATTACACTTGCAATAAACTGTCCCGAAAGATGGTTCTGGTCGATTAAGGCACTGGTTATTGTGCTGAAATAGGTGCAGATCTTCATTTTTGTGAACAGTTTGTTTTTAGCAGTAATTTAATGCTGGGCGTGTCATCGTGATTGACAGCTGTGATTGACAGTTTCTCAAAGCAGCGCGTCTGAGCTTCGGCAGGAGACTGAAGTGTTATTATTCGATTTCTGTGTTATTTTACCATGACAAAATGAGTTCAGCAGTAAACTAGTTTCTGACATACATGATCCTGGTGGAACACTGTTTATTCGCTAAGGTCAGGGCTTTTTTCGGGCTTTATTGGTTTGCTGAGACACGCCAACCACCCAGATAGCAAAACACACTCGGGCCAGTTCCAGCTAGATTCCAGCCGGAGACTTCACTTACCCCTCAGAGCTCAGACTGACTGGATGCCTGGACTCACTGCCCGATTCCAGCCCGAGTCAATCGAGCCAGATGCGGCGGCCGAGTGAGCCGGCGCTGCCGCATGCGAGCCGGAATCAGCCCGCGACGCCGCGAGTAGGTTATGCGCTGCGGCCCGGAGCTGGCGCGTTTGAATGTATAAAACCCTCATATTTGTTAACGTTATTACATCCATTTGTGTTGATATGACAGCAAACGCATGCTGAGAAGTTCGGGGGGCGTGGTTGATTTTACATAAAGCGTTTGGTTGGAAGCTCGATTTTCACGGCTCCTCCTCTGGCTCCATCAGACAGTCCTTCTGCGCATGTCAAGGCTCCAATTTCAGCAGTCTTTTGCAACAGTTTGTGCCCGTCAAGCAGGCGTTTTGCCCTCAAGGCGTTCAATAGGAAAAGGGGCTGTCGCGTCGTCCATATTTTTTACAGTCATTGGTTTAAAATGTAAAACTGATGTAGGTACTTTAACGCATTGTATGTGGTCATGTTAGGGCTGCTCGATTATGGGAAAAATCATAATCACGATTATTTTGGTCATAATTGTAATCACGATTATTCAAAACGATCATCAGTTGAAGACAAAAATATTCGTCCTCCAGTGAATTTATTTTTATATATAAATATTTCATACTGTTTTTATTTTTACTTTTTCTTACATTTTACGGGTGATAACAGACAAACAGACGTTTCGGCACAAAGCCTTCCTCAGTGTGTGACACATTCTCCAACTCCACCCTTTTAGTCCATAGTCAATCACAATGTGCAATTAGTTAAACCGTCACTCTCATTTCATTATCAATTAATCACACAATAACTTATAGTCTTCACAGCAATGACAATAAACATTCTTCCCATTTCCGACCTCACTCCACAGAGATAAAGTGCATCAACCCCAAACACTAATCAGGTGTACATCAATACAAAAAATTCTAACAGTTGACATTAAAAGTTTTCTACATTTAACAATTACTCAAAGATTAAAAATAACAAGTCTTACCTTCATCTCTACTCTTACAACCAATTATACAGGAGACATTTACCTGCATATTAAAAAACGATTTGCAAGACATACGAAAAAACTTGCATTCAAAAACCATTACTACATAGGAAAACATCATATCAATTATCATTATATTTTTTTAACAATTTACACTACAATAGATCATAATCAATTACTCGAAAAACACCTTTTCAAAATAAAAACAGTATGAAGCAATTGAGTGCGAATCATTACCTTCTTTTGAATAATAGTAACGATCAGATTAACGCACCAAACCAAAGAAGTAACTAAAAAAAAAACGCAAGCGCGCAGGACAAACTTCAGTAACTATATATAAATATTTCCCAAATGATGTTTAACAATGGGGTTTTTTTACAGTATTTCCTATAATATTTTTTTCTTCTGGAGAAAGGCTTATTTGTTTGGTTTCAGCTAGAATAAAAGCAGGTTTGAATATTTTGAAATCTATTTTAATAGCTCGATATTATTAGCCCCTTTAAGCAATATATATGTTTGATTGTCTGCAGAAGAAACTACTGCTATACAATGACTTGTCTATTTACCCTAATTAAGCCTTTGAATGTCACTTTTAGCTGAATACTAGTATCTTGAAAAACATCTAGTAAAATATAATGTGCTGTCATTGTAGTAGACATGAAATGGTTAACATGTGTCACGTGATTGTGGTGGAGGGTCACCGGGGTTACGTAGTGCGCTTATAGGTGGCACCTGTTCATTCGCAACTTAGGAAGGAGAGAGAGAGGGGGTGAACGGGGACGCGGTACTCTTTGTTGACCAAACGAAACCAAACTTAAGCTCAAACTTAAGCCCAAATCAAATTCTACACTGTCCAAAGATCAAGGTACGTTTTATATTGGAAAATAAACGAGTGTAGACATTGGAACGACTTCTTGCCTTGTTTACATTTGATGTTTGCGTCACAAATCATGTCTCTGGTTTAGCCTCTCAGCTGTTAAACCACGTAGCCGCTACAGTCATCATAGCAAAGATAAAATAAATAAGTTATTAGAAATGAGTTATTAAATCTATTATGTTTAAACTGTGCTTTAAGCATCTTCACTGTATTTTTAATTTATTATTAATTAATAATAAAAACAGTCGGCAGCAGCAGGAATACCGCACGCTGTCTCTTTAAGAATAGTGCGGCTCTGATATGGTTTCTCTTTCTAATGTCTTTTGATTCTCAACTTGTTTGTTTATTATACAAATGAGGGTTAATATGAATAATCAGTAAACACCGCGCTCTGACACAAATGTGCATGTACTTGACCATTAAAGCGCTCACATTAAGATCGCGTTAGATGTGTGTGTGCTCTGCTGTCCGAAGCTAAGCGCGGCGCGCGCGCAAACACACACACACGCTATCTGTCCGAGGCTAAGCACGGCGCACACACACACACATCAGCACGTGCTCTTTTGCGCTTTTAAAAATATGAATGATGCACATCCCGTGCTGCAAAAGTTACATTACAGCACATGCTTTTAGTCACTTTCACGTGGAACTGAGCTATGCAGAGGCAAAGAGTTTTCATATGTGTACAACCGGAAAGGGGGCGGTACGTGATGGAATAATCGCTTATCTCGATTAATGGTTTTTCATAACTGTTAAAAGTCAAAATCGAAATCGGATTTTCGATTAATTGCACAGCCCTATGTCATGTACAAGCTACAAAGATTCTGGTCCTTGATGCTGGGGGAAATGGAAAAGATCTTTAACATGCCATTGGATTTTGACCCAGTTTCGTTGATTTTGGGTTTACCTAATTCAGTGGTTCTCAAACTTTTTTCATCAAGTACCACCTTAGAAAAAAATAGTCTCTCCAAGTACCACCAAAATGAGCAGTATTGAAATACAGTAGTGTAGTAGGCCCAGTAAAGCAGCTACAACTCTGCACAGTTAAAAAACCTGGCAGATTACCTCAGAAATATAGGCTATATGTCATTTATGGCATGTTATATACATAATTTTTTATAAATTTTGAAATATATGTAGCATGTGCACAACTGGAAGGAAGCCCGCGTACCACTAGTGGTACACGTACCACAGTTTTGCTGCCAGAAGGAATATTTTACTTAATTGAATTAGCGATAAATCTCCATCACTTAAAGGTTGGCACAAGATCATTTTTGAGTTGATTCCTCTGGAACATCTTACCCATGTTTTACACAAAAAACTGAACGCTGAAAAAAAAAATGAATGAATGAAAATTATAATTAAACTAATTATAAAATAATCTTGGCTTCTATTAAATACATAAACAACAAAATAATTAAACAAACAAACAAATAAATAAATAAATTAATTAATTAATTAATTATATATTTTTAAGATAGGCATGTTTTTTTGTTAACACAGCATACAGCAAACATACAGCAAAACATTAGAACACAGCCAAAAGTCATTTTGTACAAGGGGGTCTTACGCTTGAGTTTAGCAAACACCCTAACTAATGAATCCTTATTGTAAAGTGTGACCATTGAAGATATAATTGTTGCACCCAACACTTCCATCATGCACAAACACACACACACACACACACACACACACACACAGATGACTCACCAAGATCATCCTCTCCCGAATCTGCTTTAAAGATGTAAACTTTAATAACCTCCTGTCCATCTTCATCCTTTTCCACCTCCTGATCATCAATGGCTCCCTCCACCGTCACCTCGTCTCCGTCTCCTGACACCATCTTACCCGCATCGTCCACTGAGAGAGCAGAAACACATTAAAGCACTATTAAAAAGGCACAATTATGCAAAAATGACTTTTAGAAATGGTTTAAAGGCAGATGTGTGGAAAGAATGTGTAAATATAATCAGCTTCAACTGGGTAAAATTTATTAATTCTATTTTTTTAGAATCACAACAGTCTGCAGAAACACTTGGATTGACATTCTTCCTTTGTACGTGTGATTACAAGGAGAAAGCCCCGCCCACTAGTGACCATCTCTCCCTCATTAGCATAGAACATTAGTCTTGTTTTTGAATCTGCCACCATGCTGACACAGGCATTTATAGCCCCGCCCTCTTTTGAAAAAGAGCCCAATCTCATTTGAATTTAAAGCGACAGACACCAAAACAGCACAATTAGGATCAAAGCCTGAAAGGGTCAGTTTCGGAGTTATTAAACATTATTTATGAGGTATTTTGAGCTGAAACTTCACGCACAAACTCTCTAGGGACATCAGAGACTTAATTTGCATCTTGTAAAAGGTGGAGTACTATTTCTCCTTTAACTGATCACCTATATATAACCACAATAAAGAGAAATGAGCTGCATGTAAAGTCAAGACCGACCATATAATGCCCCACAAGGAAATCTAATGTATGGCAATATATGCAACTCACATATTTAAGATACAAGTTCAAGTTAAGACTTCACTGATAAAATAGACATATATTCAAGATATTTAAAAAAAAATGGCAAATTCATTTTCAATCATTAGAATAAAAAATAAAAAGCATGTTTAGGTATAAACTAAGTTGGCAGACCGCTGTGGTGACCCCAGATTAATAAAGGGACTAAGCCAAAAAGAAAATGAATGAACGAATGATATGTACACTCACTGGCCACTTTATTAGGTACATCTTACTAGTACCGGGTTGCACCCCTTTTTGCCTTCAGAACTGCCTTAATCCTTTGTGGCATAGATTCTACAAGGTACTGGAAATATTGACATGATAGCATCACGCAGTTTTCAAAGATTTGTAGGCTGCAATTCCATGATGCAAATCTCCCATTCCACCACATCCCAAAGGGGCTCTATTGCAGGGGAGGCCAACCCTGTTCCTGGAGAGCCACCTTTCTGAAGATTTCAGTTGCTACCCATATTAAGCACACGTGATAATTACAGACGGGTGTGTTTGATATGGGTTGCAACTGAAATCTGCAGGAAGGTGGCTCTCCAGGAACAGGGTTGGCCAGCCCTGCTCTATTGGATTGAGATGTGAACTCTTTGTCCTGTTCAAGAAACTAGTCTGAGATGATTCACACTTTATGACATGGTTGTAGCCCATCTGCCTCAAGGTTGGACGTGTTGTGTGTTTAGAGATGCTCTTCTGCAGACCTCGGTTGTAACAAGTGCTTATTTGAGTTACTGTTACAGCTTATTTGAGTTTGAGTTTACAGCTGGAACCAGTCTGGCCATTCTCCTCTGGCATCAACAAGGCATTTGTGGCCACAGAATTACCCCTTACTGGATATATTGTCTTTTTCTGACCATTCTTTGTAAACCCAATAGATGGTTCTGCGTGAAAATCCCAGTAGATCAGCAGTTTCTGAAATACTCAGACCAGCTCGTCGGAGACAAGCAACCATACCACGTTCAATGTGTGAATGAACCCCAAAACTGACAATTAATCCACAATGAACCAAAACAGACAATTAATTGCATAATCTCAAATATTTCATAAACAATTAAATGCAAGCTAAACTTTAGTGTCTACTAAATTTTCATGTCAAATTCCATTTATTATTATTTATTTCTGTGTTGAAGACATGACTGCATGCAGGCATGAATATATGAACGAATGATTATATTAATCTATGAATATATGAATGAGTATATAAATGCATAGATATATGAATGAATGAATGAATGAATGAATGAATGAATGAAAGAATATACGAACACATGGATATATGAATGCATGGATATACGAATGCATGGATATACGAATGCATGGATATACGGATGGCTGGATGGATGAATAAATGAATGAATGGAGGAATGAATGAATGAATGCATGCATGGATATATGAATCAATGAAGGCCATAGATATATGAATGCATGGATATATGAATGCATAGATAAATGAATGAATGCATGGATATATGCATGAATGCATAGATATATGAATGTATAGATGAATGAATGAATGCATAGATATATGAATGCATGGATAAATGAATGAATTAATGAATGCATGTATATATGAATTAATGCATGGATATACGAATGCATGAATATATGAATGAATGCATGCAAGGATATATGAATGCATGAATGAATGAATGAATTAAATAATAAGTGCATGGATATATAAATGCATGGATAAATGAATGAATGCATGGATATATGAATGAATGAATGAATGCATGGATATATAAATGAATGAATGCATGGATATATGAATGAATGAATGAATGAATGAATGAATGCATGCATGGATATACAAATTAATGAATGCATGGATATATGAATGAATGAACTAATGAATGAGTGAATGCAGGCATGGATATTTGAATGCATGCATATATGAATGAATGCATGGACATACGAATGAATGCATGGATATTTGAATGAATGAATTAATGAATTAGTTAATGCATTGGATATATGAATTAATGAATGTATGGATATATGAATGAATGAATAAATGAATTAATTAATTAATTAATTAATTAATTAGTTAATGCATTGGATATATGAATTAATGAATGTATGGATATATGAATGAATGAATAAATAAAAGAATGCCTGGATGAATGAATGAATGAATGAATGAATGCATGGATATATGAATTTATGGATGCATGCATGGATATATGAATGAATAAATAAATGAAATAATAAATGAATGAATGAATGAATGAATGGATATACGAATGAATGAATGCATTGGATATATGAATGAATGAATTAATTAATTAGTTAATGCATTGGATATATTGAATGAATGAATGAATGAATGAATGAATGCATGGATATATAAATGAATGAATGCATGAATGGATATATGAATGAATAAATGAATGAATTAATAAATGAATGAATGAATGAATGAATGAATGAATGCATAAATAAATGCATGAATAAACCAACCAAACAAACAAATATAGGAATGAATGCACGCATATCTTACAGGAAATCATCAGGTAGTCTCCGCAGCTGTCAGAGTCGTGCTCCTGCTCTCTCCCCTCCACCAGCACATCCTCCGTCATCTCCGCCATGGCGACCCCATCCTCCTCCTCCTCACCCTCTAGTGACATCACACAGGTCTCCACGGCGACGCCCTCGTCATCATCACAGTGCACGTACTCGGCCACCACATCCTCCACTGCGTCCTGAATGACGAGCTCGTCTGAGGAGAAACCCTGAACGGACGCTCCCTCACCCTCCACCTCGGACACCAGCACCGTCTCCTGCAGCTCAACCACATACTCCTCCTCCTCGTCATCACCTGCGCCTCCTTCATCTACAACAACACACAAAGATAAATTTCCAAACTCAAAAAAATAAATAAAAATCAAGTGTGAAATATTTTTACAAATGTCACAAAATCTTTTGTCAATTTTTATAAATACAAAAGAACAAGCACTGAAGCTCTCTATAGTATCTCTGAGATCTCGGTCAAAAATCATAAAGTTGTATATTATTATATATTAACAGTACACTGCAAAAACACTGAACACACACACACACACACACACACACACACACACACACACTGTCAGCACAGCACAACAATACTGCTTAAATATGACTGAATGACTCCACAATGACTGAATCAATATATCAATATGTAATCATGTTTTGTGTTTGAATAAAGAGATATACAACTTCTGATGACATTTAATTCATATATATATATATATATATATTTTTTGTTTTTATGTTTTTTATGTTTAATAGACATGAACGATGGATGGATGGAAGGATGGATGGATGGATGGACGGACGGATGGATGGATGGAACGATGGATGGACGGATGGATGGATGGAACGATGGATGGACGGATGGATGGACTGATGGATGGACGGACGGATGGATGGAACAATGGATGGACGGATGGATGGAACGATTGATGGAACAACAAATAGAACAAACAAAGGAAGATAGATAGATGGATGGATGGATGGATGGAACGATGGATGGACGGATGGATGGAACGATGGATGGACGGATGGAACGATGGATGGACGGATGGATGGAACGATGGATGGACGGATGGATGGAACAATGGATGGATGGATGGATGGAACAATGGATGGATGGATGGATGGAACGATGGATGGATGGAACGATGGATGGACGGATGGATGGATGGAACGATGGATGGACGGATGGATGGATGTAACGATGAATGGACGGATGGATGGATGGAACGATTGATGGAACAACATATAGAACAAACAAACAAAGGAAGATAGATAGATAGATAGATAGATAGATAGATAGATAGATAGATAGATAGATAGATAGATAGATAGATAGATAGATAGATAGATAGATAGATAGATAGATAGATAGATAGATAGATAGATAGATAGATAACAGAATGATACAGACAGAACAATATAAAGAATGATAGATGAATAGAACGATAGACATGAACGATAGACAGACAGACAGACAGAGAAAAAGATAGAAAGATATAACGACAGACAGACAGACAGACAGACAGACAGACAGACAGACAGACAGATAGATAGATAGTAGAGATCACGATTTTCTCATGATTCTGCAAATATAAAATAAGACCTTAGAATTGTCCTGGTCATTAATGATGAAAATTCTGATGTTGAATTATTGTGTTTGAGACATTTGCTTACAATCTGTCATCTTCTGCTTAAAATCTGTAACTGATGTGAGTTTTGTGAATGCAGAAGACTGGGTGGGTGTTTTTTCGGGGGGGTTTTGGATACTTTTTGGGCTGGAATCAGTCAGCTACTTCTGGTAACACTGTGTGCGCTTTCGGTTTCATTATCACTGCTAAGAGCGGTTTACTTCCCGTGCGGCTCCCAAACGATCACTCTGTGCCACAAACTGATGTTATGTACAACTTTATTACCTGTTATTCAGTCTATGCAGGTTCTGTTCACTAAAGTGGACTACATTAGTTCATTCAAAGGCGCGCGGCTTCCGCCTTCTCTGTGGTAACCGCTGACGGTCAGCTTACGTCACGTCTGATTTTGACAAATCCAGACCAGAAACTAAATACACATATGAAGAGTTCAGATGCAAAACCCTCTAAATCCATCAGACCTCTTTTCTTGTAAATAAGCATTTTCGTTCAGGCTCCACTGATAAGGGTTCAGAAGTTTAATTTTATATGAAATGAAAAGATAGTAATAAATAGTAAATAAAATACCTTTTTTTTTAAATGCCACTTTAGGCAAGGCAAGTTTATTTATATAGCACATTTCATACACAGTGGCAATTCATAGTGCTTTACATAAACAACAATAAAAGAAACAAGTATAAAAGAAAAATGTAAAAAATAATAATAATTAAAAAAAACATAAAAACAGGAAAAAATGTGATATAAATAGGGATGTAACGGTATCACAATTTCACGGTACGGTAATACCTCGGTATGAATGTCACGGTACGGTATTTATTGAATCATTTACAGGAAAAAACAAAACTTATGAAAATACTCCAAAAAAGTGCCAAAAGTGTCAATGACATACAAATTAGCCATCTATCTGTAAGCTTTGAAACAGGAACTTCAATTTTAATAACAAAAAAAATATTAAACCATGTAAAAAATAAAGTTTCAATTTAGTATTGTTGAAAACTCATCACATTCAACATTTAATCACACTCAGCCCATCTACCCAGATGAGAGCTGTGCTAGTCGGACTTCTCATCAAGCATCTCCCGCTGGATCTAATCTCACTATATTTATTAAACGGGATATTTCATTTATCTTGTTGTCTTTATCTAACGACATATTCCCTGACTTTGGTCATTGGAATCTATTACTTGTTCTCAGGTAACGTGTTTTGGCTGAGCGCAAAGATAAGTTAATGATTAATGTAACCACGTACATTCTGTATATTGACTGATCGCTTGCCTTTATTTCCTATAATGTATAAACTTATTGTATGTTATACTTTTATAATGGCCATTATCGATTATTAAAACTGATACTCAGCAAAAGAGAGGCTGTTTTGTATTTTCACTGAAATTGAAAGGAGGCAGTTGTTATCGGCTCATGTTTACATTTTATTGTTGATAAAGTGAAACAACGAAGCCAGGGTGATGTGAATGATGTTATAAAGTACACTGTTCCCTGTGAAGATTTACCCGTGTCCTCGGTATAGTCTGCTTTTCCATATCAAACTGAGAAGAAGAGACTGCAGCCTTGATCAAACTTGCGAAGTCTGAACTTACAAGGAGAAGATGCAGGACTGAACTGTGTGTTAGGCTACTTAATATTCAGGAAAAGCCCCAATCAGAGAGGCGAACGTCTGCAGCCCCGCCTCTGTTTTCAGATGTTTCCGTTTTCCGAAACGCTCCGTTTTCGGCGCTCGAGAACTCCGGCGTAGTGTGGACGGTTGGCGTAACCGTAGCAAAACTTATGCGTTTTCAAACTAAAACGCATTAGTGTAAACGGGGTCTTAGAGTTTTCCAGCTCTTTTTATCCCCGCTTCTAGCAGCACACTCCATTTCCGCATTACTGGATCTGTAGCGACAACAGACCACAAGGGATGATGGTCAAGCATGGGGCTGATGGGAATTGTAGTTTACGCTACCTCCCGTTCGCTTCATTCGCCTGAGCAAATTTTCTCAGAAGACCTATAGTTTTACCGAGTCATGCGACTTCGGTAATATCGAAAAAAATTAATATTGCGGTATGACGGTATTTACAATACCGTTACATCCCTAGATATAAAGGAATAAAAAAAGAAGAGAAAAACAATAGTGCGATCTGTCGGACGCAGCACAGTGCTCATTCAGTAAAGGCACAGCTAAACAGATGTGTTTTCAGTCTTGATTTGAATGTGCCTAATGTTGGAGCACATCTGATCATTTCTGGAAGCTGATTCCAGCAGCGAGGGGCGTAGTGGCTAAAAGCCGATTCACCCTGCTTTGACTGAACTCTTGGAACTTCTAGTTTATATGATCCTAAAGATCTGAGTGATCTGTTGGGTTTGTATTCAGTGAGCATATCTGTAATGTATTGAGCTCCTAGGCCATTTAGTGATTTATAGACCAGTAATAATACTTTAAAATCTATTCTGAATGTAACTGGGAGCCAGTGTAGAGACCTGAGGACAGGTGTGATGTGCTCTGATTTCCTGCTTCTGGTCAGAATTCTGGCTGCAGCGCTCTGGATGAGCTGCAACTGTCTGACTGTCTTTTTAGGAAGACCAGTGAGGAGTCCGTTACAGTAATCCACCCTGCTGCTGATAAAAGCATGAACAAGTTTCTCTAAATCTTCACTAGAAACAAAGCATCTGATTCTTGCTATGTTTTTGAGATGATAGTATGCTGATTTACTGACTGCTTTGACATGACTACTGAAACTCAGATCTGACTCCAGAGTCACACCAAGATTCTTGACCTTATTTTTTGTCGTTTGACCTTTAGAGCCAAAGTACACATTCACCTTGAGAACCTCATCTCTGTTCCCAAACGCAATGACTTCAGTTTTCTCTTTGTTTAACTGAAGAAAATTTTGGCATATCCAACTGTTCATTTCATCAATGCATTGGCAGAGGGTGTCAATGGGGCTGTAGTCATTAAGGCAGTAAGGCTAGGTAGATCTGAGTGTCATCAGCATAGCTGTGGTAGGAGATTTGGTTCTTTCTCATTATTTGGCTCAGAGGGAGCATGTAAAGGTTGAACAGGAGAGGTGCCAGAACTTCACCTTGTGGGACTCCACATGTCATGGGTGTCCACCTCAACCTATGGTCACCTATACTGACATAGTAACCTCTACCTTCAAGGTAAGATCTGAACCATTTGAGGACCGTGCCAGACAGCCCAACCCAGTTTTCCAGCCTATCCAGAAGTATGCTGTGATCGACAGTGTCAAATGCTGCTCTGAGATCGAGCAGTACGAGCACTGTTATTTTACCTGAATCTGTATTTAGGCGTATATCATTGATTATCTTTATAAGGGCGCTCTCTGTACTGTGATGTGCTCCGAAACCAGATTGACAATTGTCTAAACACCCCTTGAACTATGGCTGCACAATTAATCGTTAAAAGATCACGATCTCGATTCGACCCCCTAGACGATCTTAATCCAGCATTTCTACGATTCTGTCAATCATATTTTCAAGTTCAGGAGAGAAGAAAAGGCGGCTGCACAAGTCTTTTCATTGTTTCACATACGTTGCTCAGTGACACTGACACCTCCAAATGATGTTGAATGAGTCACATACTGTATTTACAAGGTATAATTCACCTACAAATGTCATTTTTGTCTTCATATAATGATGTTTTCGCGGCCGGGAAATCACACCTGACGTGAGCTGCTGACCGTGAGCTGTTATCACAGAGAGGGCGCGCGCTCTACTTAATGATAGACGGGCGCGCGTCTACTTTAGTGAACAGAACCTGCATATGTTACGAGTAACAGGTAATACAGCTGTAAATAATATTCTGTTTGTGGCACAGAGTGATCGTTTGGGAGCCGCGCACAAATTATGAACAAGCACTTAGCAGTCAAAATGAAACCGAAAGTGTGCACTTCATTTAAATGATCGTATCGCATTTTAGAGTTATGATTACGGCAAGCATTTGATGTTTTTTCTTTCATAGCGAACCCACAGTTGTGCATGAAAATAAATGTTTACAGTGTCAATATAACTACTCTAGCTTATATATTGTTGAATATAATCTGAAAATGGCAAATGTCTGATTTTACCAGTGAATAAAATAGTCCAATATGACAGATTGCAAGCATATATCTCAAACATAATAATTCAACATCAGAATTATTAGAAGTAGAATAGAATTATTTATAGAAACCAGTAGACCTACACATAATATTATTATCGATGTTGTGCCATATGTTTGTTTTTACCTTACCTTTATTTTACATCTACAGAATCGTGATAAAATCGTGATCTTTATTTTAAGCAAAAAAAATTGTGATTCTCATTTAAGCCAGAATCATGCAGCTCTACCTTGAAGCTTAAGAACTTGTTAACCTGATTAAAAACAACTTTTTCAATGATTTTGCCAATGAAAGGGAGATTTGAGATTGGCCTGTAATTGCTCAATAGGGTGTTATCCAGGTTGCTCTTCTTCAAGAGGGCTTTAACAGCTGCAGTTTTAAGTGAGTTTGGAAAAGAATTTAGACAATTCTTTGGTTTTTAACAAGGTACATTTTCTTTTGCGTCAAAACCAGCTAAATAAGTACACCTATTGAGACAAGACAGTGTAATTAGTTGAAAACCACTAAAGCTGCTATTAGAAATTATTTTACCAAACATAAAACACATACAGTACACAGACCACCTGAAATTAAAACTGCATAAATCTGTCTAGTAAGTGGCGGTTCATTCCGCTGTGGTAACACCTGATAAACCAGGGACTATAAGGAAAATGAATGAATGAAATCTGTCAAGTGCATTTATCAATAACATTAAAACTGACATTAATTAAATCTGAACAATCTATTGTCATTTCTGATATTTGGGATTTAGATTTAATGTAAGTAGAGCAATGTAAACATTGTAAACTAAGCTTGTTAGATTCAAATAATGTAGTGTAAAAACACTGTGAAACATCAATATCTGTGCATTTATACAAAAAGCTAATCAGACGTAGGTATTATAAAGTAATATAAATAGTGTATAGTTTTATACATTATATTTATCTTTTAAAAAAATAGCTAAAATTAGCAAATAAAACACAAGGTAGGCCTACTGGACAAAAAGGGGATGCCTCTCAGACAATTTTAGAAGCTGTCATTCATTCATTCTCACCATACTCGCAGTCTTTGTCCCTTTTTTGTCTCTTGTTTATCCTCATAGCATCCACGTGGAATGAAATAACAGAATCTTAACTCGAACGCAGTTGCTGCTTAATGTATAGTAAATTGGGCTCATTCAAAGTAGCGTCGCTGCGCAAACAAACGTTATAAAAGCATGTTACACGTCCAACTGTGAATTTCAGTTTATTTCTAAAAGTTTACTAACTGTTACAATTCTTTATACAATTATACAAATACAGATTCATTCTAAGAGAACCTCACCATCCTACATGAAAAAAATACTGCAGTAATTTACAGTAAATACTATAGTGTTTTTGAACCATACTTTAGCAGCGTATTATACTATATATTATGGTATTTACAACACTTTGTTAATGAATGCTCCAGCATTCTGTAGTATTAACTATAGTGAACTGAATGTGTAATAAATACATTTGTTTTTACTACAGTATCGTGTGGTGTATTGTAGTATATAAGATACCCCATAATAGTGTAAAACTACAGCGCTGGGTCATTTGTTAATATTACTATTCTTGTGTTACCATAGCCACTTTAGAATAACCACAACAGACTAATTGGTGAAGTCTAGAAGGGATGCAGCTGTGGATACTCACCTCTATATAGAATAATGTTTGACACTGTACAACGATTAATATTTTTACATTACAGTGATGGTTGGGTTTAGGGTTGGGTGTGGGTAACCATTAATAAACTATAATTAATGTGTAAATTAATAAATAATATGAATAATACTCTGTGTAATTACTGTTTTACATTACTGTCATGGTTAAATTTAGGGTTGTGTGGGTAGACATTAATTCACTATAATTAATGTGTAAATTAATTAATAATATAAATAATACTCTGTATAATTACTGTTTTACATTACTGTGATGATTGGGTTTAGGGTTGGGTGTGGGTAACCATTAATACACTATAATTAATGTGTAAATTAATAAATAATATGAATAATGCTCTGTATAAGTACTGTTTTTTCATTACAGTGAGGGTTGGGTGTGGGTAGACATTAATACACCATAATTAATGTGTAAATTAATAAATAATATTAATATTACTCTGTATAATTACTGTTTTTACATTACAGTGAGGGTTGGGTGTGGGTAGACATTAATACACCATAATAAATGTGTAAATTAATAAATAATATGAATAATGCTCTGTATAATTACTGTTTTTACATTACTGTAATGGTTAAATTTAGGGTTGGGCGTGAGTAGACATTAATTCCCTATAATTAATGTGTAATTTTATAAATATTATGAATAATACTCTGTATAATTACTGTTTTACATTACTGTGATGGTTGGGTTTATTATTAGGGTCGGGGTAGACGTTAATAAAGTATAATTAATGGGTAATTTAATAAATAATATCAATAATACCCAGTATAATTACTGTTTATACATTACAGTGAGGGTGTGTGTAGACATTAATGCACTAAAATTAATGGATAATTTAATAAATAATATGAATAATACTCTGTATAGTTACTGTTTTACATTACTGTGATGGTTGAGTTTAGGGATGGGGTAGGTGTCAATAAAATACAATTAACAGGTAATTTAATCAATAATATAAATCATTTTCATCACAGCTGTCTCCCTTCTAGCAATAACCAGATCAATTCAGAGTACTTCGTAATAATGTTGTTCAAAAACATGAGTATTTAGTACGAATTACTATAGTATTTTAGGATGTGCTTGGCATTTATTAAACCTGATGTTTCTTTATTACCTGAGCCATGCAGTATAATCTTCGGCTCCTGAGAGCGGAGAGCAAGCCTGGTCACCTCCTCATCCATCGTCTTTATTCTTCATTGGCCACGGCACAGCTAACACAACAACACATGCAATTCATCTGTTAGTCCAACTGCATTAATATATGGACAAATCTGTTTTATTATCATCAATTATTATAGGCTAAAATCTCTAATAAACATGCAAATACTAGCCTAGATAAAGCCTTAATTCATTAGACTGTGAGAATCATAACAATGTGGCAGGCTTCAAAACATGCATTGGGTTTGAACGGTGTGTGCACATGCATAACATGAACATGACATAAATAATTGTGAACATATCACTGACGGACGTGCTCGCCCCCTTTAATTTGCGAAGGACTGCGACAAGATGCGCGACTGGAAATGAACGCAACACACAAGCGAGCGCCAAAAAACGAGTGTGCATCATTTAAAAACAGCACAAAATGCATTTAATCCACCGTGCATGACAGGAAACGCTCGAAGATCAAGCATTTGAAAGCAAGGCGTGCATGAACGCGCAATGGAGCCTGCATGCAACCCCCCGCGCGCGTTCAGTCACAAGCACCACAGAGATTTCCTCGTATTTCAGCAGCACACGAAGCCAGACATAAACATGGCGCCTTGCGGCCATAATTTCCCCCTCTTCCAACTGAAAACAAAACCATCCTACACGCGCCATTTTGAGTCATAACAGCTACGCGTTTAACTCGCGTTTAACGCACACATTAAAGCACGCGTAAAGCGCTACAAGTCAGATAAGCGTTTGGAGGGAGCGTTTATAAACAATAACCCACCCCCAATGTTTAAGGCCCCGAATGCGGCCTGCGAAAGGCCCGGCGGCCAACCCGAGGCCTTGCATCTCAAAGCCGCAACATAATGCAACAAAACGCGCACTAAATGCACGCGATCCAACCGTGCGCGCGCGGCGAGCAAGCGGAGAAATCCCCGCGCGGTGCGTTTGACCAGCATTCGCGTGCTTACCATAGACGAACGCGCGGGGCGGCCTCCAGATTTTCCCCGGGCAGGCAGGCCGTCGGATTCCCCCAGACTCGGGCAGGGCTGGAGCGGGGTTTAGCGGGCGCTGGGCGGGCCGCGGAGTGCGCAGGGAGGGCGGAGCTCCACACACAGACCCGCAGCTCCGCCACAGCGCGACCCGCCGTCAGCGACACACGTCACTGCGCAGAGCCGCAGGAAAACGCGGAAGGCCGGTGAGAGACATTTCACCGATTAAAAACGATGCTAATAAGAGCAGTTGTGGACATTTACCGTGCCAAATCCCTATGCGTCATTATAACCATATGTTTAACACTTTATGGCTGAAGCATTACTATTAAACATGCGTGTTTGCTTTGTTTTGGCCCTTGAAATTGCCCTTCACACGCACTGCATTTTCACACCCAAGTCAGACGTACATATAACGGAGAACATATTAAACCCACAATTTTTAAAGATACATCTTTATGTTATCTTATAAAGTAAGCATGATTTGACCCGTCTGTTTAGCTTTTAATGGCTGAATTATTAATATTAAACATGCGTGTTTGCTTTGTTTTGGCCCTTCACGTCCACTCCATTTTCATATTAATGTCGCACATCTGTATCTATAAAGTATAAAATATTAACCCAATCATTTTTTTAAAGGTATATTTATATATTATCCTTCTAAAAATGCATTCATGGCTGAAGCATTAATATTAAACATGCATGTTTGGATTGTTTTGGCCCTTGAAATGTCTCTGCATGCACAGCATGTTTCACACCTAAGTCACACGTCTGTAGCCTAAATGTAAATCTGATAAGCCCATGCTTTTTAAAGGAACATTTATGTATTATCTTTTAAAATAAGCATTATTGTAACGTTATGTTTAACCATAAGTGGTCAAAGCATTATTATTAAGTGTGTTTGCTTTGTTTTTACCCTTGAACGTGCCCCTCACATGCACTGCATGTTTCACTCCCAAGTCACACGTCTGTATAACTAATAACATATTAAACCCACGACTTTAAAAGATACATGTATATATTACCTTTTAAAATAAGCGTGATTTAAACTGTTTAGCTATTAATGGCTGACTTATTAATATTAAACATGCATGTTCGCATTGTTTTGGCCCTTCACATCCATTGCATTTTCATATCTAAGTCACACGTCTGTATATATAACGTAACACGTTAACCCCACTATTTTTAAAGATGCATTTATATATTATCTTTTTAAAAATGCGTTCATGGCTTAAGCATTAATATTAAACATGTTTGCATTGTTTTGGCCCTTGAAATGGCCCTGCAATGCATTTCACACCCAAGTTACACACCTGTAAATATAACATGGATGAGCCCATGATTTTTAAAGGATCATTTATATATTATCTTATAGAATAAGCATCATTTTAACTATCTGTTTAACACCTAATGGCTGAAGCATTCATATTAAACATGCGTGTTTGCTTTGGCCCTTGAAATTGCCCATTGCATGCACTTCATTTTCACACCCAAGTCACATGTCTGTAGATTTATAACGGATAACATATCAAACCCCAAATATTTAAAGATACATGTATATAGTATATTTTAAAATAAGCATGATTTAAACTGTTTAGCTCTTAATGGCTGAATTGTTAATATTAAACATGAGTGTTTGCATTGTTTTGGCCCTTGAAATGGCCCTTTATGCGCTGCATGTTTCACACCCAGGTCACACGTCTGTAGCCTAATAGTAAAATTGATAAGCCCATGCTTTTTAAAGGATCATTTATATATTATCTTTTAAAAATGCATCATTTTAACTGTCAGTTTAACACTTAATGGCTGAAGCATTCATATTAAACGTGCGTGTTTGCTTTGGTCCTTGAAATTGCCCATTGCATGCACTTCATTTTCACACCTAAGTCACACGTCTGTAGATTTATAACAGATAACATATCAAACCCAAAATATTTAAAGATATGTCTATATTTTAAAATAATCATGATTTTATTTGTCTGTTTAGCTCTCAATGGCTGAATTATTAATATTAAACATGCATATTTGCATTGTTTTGGCCCTTCACATCCACTCCATTTTCATATCCAAGTCACACGTCTGTAGATATATAACGGATAACATATTAACCCCACAATTTTTAAAGGAACATTTATATATTATCTTTTAAAAAATGCATCTGTTTAACCATTCATGGCTGAAGCATTAATATTAAACATGTTTGCATTGTTTTGGCCCTTGATATGGCCCTGCAATGCATTTCACACCCAAGTCACATGTCTGTAAATATAACATGGATGAGCCCATGATTTTTAAAGGAGCATTTATATATTATCTTATAAAATAAGCATTTTAACTGTCTGTTTAACACTTAATGGCTTTGGCCCTTGAAATTGGCCCCACTTTTCACAAAAACAAAACATGTGTGTGTGTGACTTGGAGGTGAAAATGCAGTGCATATGAGGGCCATATGAAGTGTTAAACAGACAGTTAAAATGCTTATTCTATAAGATAATATATAAATGCTCCTTTAAAAATCATGGACATACATACATACATACATACATACATACATACATACATACATATATATATATACATACATACATACATACATACATACATACATACATATATATATATATACATACATACATACATACATATATATATATATATATATATATATACATATATATACATATATATATGTGTGTGTGTATATATGTATATATATGTATGTGTGTGTGTGTGTGTATATATATAGATAGATAGATAGATAGATAGATAGATAGATAGATAGATAGATAGATAGATAGATAGATAGATAGATAGATAGATAGATAGATAGATAGATAGATAGATAGATAGATAGATAGATAGATAGAGACAGACAGACAGACAGACAGACAGACAGACAGACAGACAGACAGACAGACAGACAGACAGATAGATAGATAGATAGATAAATCTGTGCATGTCCAATATGTTTCTCAACTCCTATTTTATAAAACACAAAAGCCATATATATTAAATAATTAAATAACTACAGACATTAATCTCAATTTAATTTCTGTATACTGTCCATAAAGATATTTAAGTTTTAAAAAATACACTTATCATTCATTTATTTTCCTTCGCCTTAGTCCCTTATTTATCAGGGGTTGCCACAGAATGAACTGCCAACTATTTCAGCATGTTTTATGCAGCAGATGCTCTTCCAGCCACAATCCAGTATCGGAAATCCCCCATACACACTCATTCACACACACATATGAAAGGTGGAATCAAGCAAAAGAGGCTGCACATTCAGAAACTCTCAGCATATGCTGTATATAGGGCCTTCAGCCCAGTTTCTCCATCCACATGAATGCACGTGTTTAAATAGCATCTATATTCAGCTGTTCTGACCAGATGCACAGTTTCTCTGCCTCATCCTCCCATTCAGACTGAGATGAGCTGTCGTCATTGTCTTCAGTCTCCACCGAGGGTAAAACTATGATGTCCCATTTCTCCAACCCTTTCTCTTTCATGCCTTGTTCATCATCTGAGCCCTGGAATTAGAGAGTTTGGTCAATTTAGATTAATTAAATTCAAATAAATGATTACATTTCACCAGCATGTGCATTTACATTAAATACTATTTCAGTTTGTTTACTTAAAAAAAACCTAGATCTCTTTAACACCTTTAACACACTGCTCTTTGTAAATATGAAATGTATGTTTTTATTTAAAGTTAAGGTTGTCCTTTATTCTTCTATCATGACATATCTCTGCAACATGCTTGTCCCCTACACCCCAACTCGCTCTTTACGGTCTGCTGACTCTGGCCTTCTTGCTGTCCCTCGGTATCGCCTCTCTTCAATGGGGGGCAGATCATTTAGTGCTATTGCACCCAAACTCTGGAACTCTCTACCACACTCACTTCGCTCTGCTAATAATATCTCTGAATTCAAATCCTTACTTAAGACTCACTTATTTTCTGAATGCTTTGCATCTGATCTACCAAACTGACCACTTAATCCGATCCACCACTATCCTGCTCATATGTCTCTTAGGTTTTGATTGTGTTATTCATGTTTGTTATATTTGACCTCATGTATGTTTGTTTATCTTTTTGTTGCATTCCTTGTAAAGTGTCCTTGAGCTCTGGAAAGGCGCTATATAAATAAAAATTATTATTATTATTATTCACCTTAAAACGGACCTGAAATTAGAAAAAAAAATGGAGGTCGGTGGATGACTTTATTCTTTGGGAACTGATTGGATTGTCGAAAGATGGGTGTTGCTGACAAAATGGAGGAAAATTGATGAATGGACGAATCCAGACCAGAAACTAAATACACATATGAAGAGTTCAGATGCAAAACCCTCTAAATCCATCAGACCTCTTTTCTTGTAAATGAGCATTTTCTATCAGGCTCTGAAGTGTCATTTTATATGTAATGATAAGGTTATTAGCTGGTAAATAGAATATATATTTTTTTAAATGTCACTTTAGACAATTCTTTGGTTTTTAACAAGGTAGATTTTATTTTGTGTCTAAATCCACTTCTGCTTTTTATGCAAAAACCTCTAAATCCACAAATTGAGACAAGACAGTGTAACTAGCTGAAAATCACTAAATATGCTATTACAAATTATTTTACCAAGCATAAAACACATACACAAACCACCTAAAATATATAAATCTGTCAAGTAAGTGGCGGTTCATTCTGCTGTGGTAAACCAGGGACAAAGCAGAAAGAAAATGAATGAATTAAATCTGTCATTAATCAATAACATTAAAACTGACATTAATTAAATCTGAACAATCTGTTGGCATTTCTGATATTTGGGATTTAGATTTAAAGTAAGTAGAGCAATGTAAACATTGTAAACTAAGCTTGGTAGATTCAAATAATGTAGTGTAAAAACACTGTGAAAAATCAATATCTGTGCATTGTCCCTTAATATAAAAAGCCTATCAGGCATATAGGTATTATGGAGTAATATAAATAATGTAGAGTTTTATACATTATACACTGTAAAAAAAAAAATCTGTAAATTACGGTTTATGCCAGAAAAAAAAAGTAAAATAATGGCTGTTAAATTACAGAAATTTACTGTAAAACAACAGAGACTGATTAAGAGAAATTTACCAGAAATTTATATTTAAGGAAATTTCTGTAACTTAATTTTTCTGGCACCCCAGCTGCAAATTAGCAAACAAAACACAAGGTAGGCCTAGTGGGCAAAAAGGGGATGCCTTTCAGATGATTTTAGAAGCTGTCATTCATTTATTCTCACCATACTTAAAGTCTCTTGTTTATCTTCATAGCATCCATGAGGGATAAAAGAACAGCATTTTAACTCTTGTCTTTCGTGAAATGAAGTTGCTGTTTAATGTATAGTAAATCGGACTCATTCAAGTAGAGTCGCTGCGCAAAAGTACGTTATGGATGCATGCTACACTTCCGACTGTACAGTGTGTTTTCTTTTTTTTTTATAATGCAGAGTTTTGAGGTAAAGGACGTTTTCCTTTGCTATTTACTGACAGCTAAACAGGCCCACACAGTTCATCAAACTTCGTCTTTTAAAATCTAAATTGGAAGCAGAATAAAACAGTGTCCTTATAAACCTGCATATCAGCGCGCTGCTACATTGAAAACATATGATTCAATTCGCGCCTTCTGATTGGTTCTTGGGATATAGCGGCTTTTGTTGTCAAAGGCAAGTGGTGTTTTTAGCGAATTTTGCCAACAAACTGTTATTTCTGAATGCGCTGATGCTGGGATTAGGATGATTAGAAGCAAATCTATTTGTTGATGGTGTACTACGTGCCTAAAGCCGTAGCTAAAGAAGTGGCGTTTAGTAGCTTTTGCATCTGGACACTTTATATATAGTCCCACCCTAAAGGACTGATTGCCCCACCCTAAAGGACTTATACCTCCAAACACGCAAAACGCTCAATTCGCCCCGCGCCATTCGCGTAATTTGCGTAATTCTTGCCGCGCCACAGGATGTCTATTCGCGCGTTTGCATTGACTTAACATGTAAATCAGTCGCGCTTGACGCGCGTTCCGCGTCTGGTGTGAACGCAGCATAAAGAGCTGATAGGCCCACCCTAAAGAACTGATAGCTCTGGTCTAAATAGCTGATAGCTCCACCCTAAAGGACTGATAGCTCTGGTCTAAATAGCTGATAGCTCTACCCTAAAGGACTGATAGCTCTGCTTAAAAAGACTGATAACCCCATCATAAAGGACTCATAGCTCCACCATAAATGACTAATAGCTCCGTCCTAAAGGATTAAAAGCTCCGTCCTTAAGGACTGATAGCCCCACCCTAAAGGAATGATAGACCCACCCTAAAGGACTGGTAGCTCCACCATAAATTATTGATAGCCCCGCCCTAAATGACTGATAGCTCCGCCCAAAAGGACTGATAGCCCCACCCTAAAGGACTGATAACACCACACAAAAAAATTACTGATAGCTCCGCCCTAAATGACTGATAGCTCTGCCCAAAAGGACTGATAGCCCCACCCTAAGGGACTGATAGCGCCACCCTAAATGACTGATAGCTCCGCCCTAAAGGACTGATAGCGACGCCCTAAAAGACTGATAACCTTTGCCTAAATGACTGATAGCTCTGCTCTAAAGGACTGATAGTGACGCCCTAAATGTCTGATAGCTCCGCCCTATATTACTGTCATGTTCACCAGCGAACAACCACCAGATGTACAGGGGCCTCATGTACGAAGACTTGCGTGGAAATCATACTAAAACATTGCGTACGCACAAAGCTGTAAATGTGCGTACGCAGAAAAAAATTCAGCTGTATGAAACACTGCATACGCCGAATCTCACGCATATTCTTTTGTACATCTGAATGAACGTGAAACTGAGCGCAACATGCACGAGCACAAAACCCCTCCCTGCCTCCTCCCCCGTATGAATATGCTAATGACTCTACTTTGGCAAAACCCAACGAAAAAGCAAAGGCAAAAGCAAGCAAGAAGAGAAACTTTGAACAGAATGTGAATTGTAGGTGCTGCTATTGGAGGTAGACCAGAGAAAAGCGGTGTTATTTGCAAGTTTGTTCTCCGGAATTAACAACAAAAGAAAAAATTTGAGTGGGAGAGTTTAGCTGATGCGGTTAACACAGTTAGGTCTGAACATCGCACTGAGTTAACTAGAAACAGAAATAGTGTGATTTATAGGTGTAAAATGTTGCAGTACCCTTAACCCTTAGGCCCCGTTTACACTAGTGCGTTTTAGTTTTAAAACGGCGTTGTAGAATGAAAACGATCCGCGTCCACACTCGCGTTTTACCCAGCGTTTCTGAACAGCTCTCCGTCCACACCAAAACGCTGAAAACGCACATCACGTGACCACACACACACACTCTCGGGCAAGCGCTCCAGCATTTCTACCCAGACGAGAGCTCTGCTTGTCGGACTGCTCATCACGCATCTCCCGCTGGATCTAATCTCACTATATTTGCTAAACGTGATATTTCATTCATGTTGTTGTCTTTATCTAACGACATAGGCCAATTCCCTGACTTTGGTCATTGGAATCTATTAAGTTACTTGTTCACGGGTAACATGTTTTGGTTAAGTGCAAAGATAAGTTAATGATTAATCCAGGTACATTGACTGATCGCTTGCCCTTATTTCCTACAATGTATAAATATTAACCTAATATAATAAACTTAATATAATATAAACTTATTGTATGTTATACTTTTATAATTGTCGATTATTAAAACTGATATTCAGCAAAAGAGAGGGTGCGTTTCGTATTTTCACTTAAATTAAAAGGAGGCAGTTGTTATAGGCTCCGTTTTGTTATAAATATCCACGCTCATATATGCAGCACGACGCCTCAACATTTCTGCTGTCTGTTAAGTTGCTAATATTAAAAAGAAATAAGGCAGTTCCTTAAATCATGTTTACATTTTATTGTTGATAAAGTGAAACAACGAAGCCAGGGTGATGTGAATGAAGTTATAAAGTACACTGTTCCGTTTGAAGATTTACGCGTGTCCTCGGTATGTTTTCCATATCAAACTGAGAAGGGGGAGACTGCAGCCTTGATCAAACTTGCGAAGTCTTAACTTACAAGAAGAGGATGCGAGACTGAACTGTGTGTGGGCTACTTAATATTCAGGAAAAGCCCCAATCAGATAGGCGAACGTTTGCAGCCCCGCCTCCGTTTTCAGATGTCTCCGTCTTTCCCCATCCACACTGAGACGGAGCAGCAGCGTTTTAGAATGAAAACGGCCTCTCCAGTGTTTTCAAAAAGCTCAGTTTTCGGCGCTCGAGAACTCCGGCGTAGTGTGGACGGATGGCGTAACCGTAGCAAAACTTATGCGTTTTCAAACTAAAACGCACTAGTGTAAACGGGGCCTTAGTCTCAGTGGCGCAGCTAATTCGACGCATGTCAACATGTTTTGACACGTTCGAGCATAAACTCGGTTCGAATCCAGCCTCTTATGAACTCTTTCTTCTTTTTTCCCCCGCTACATATCAGATTTTGCCTACTATTTATCACGAGAAATACAAGAAGGAATCATTAATAAGTCTGTGCATCATATTTTATTTGCACATTTATTGAATGGAAATGTTTCTGATTCACGCATGCAAATTCATCTTCAGATAGTGTCTTTATAGCAATGTGTGTGCGGTAGATAGCTCTTATTAGATTGGGAAAACAGGCGACCGCTGCAAATTGTGCTTTAATGTTTAGCTGGTCAACTGTATGGTATGGAAACCTTATATACCTGCTAGATGAACCCGTCTCATACAGCTGCCATTGCACGGCTCAACAACACTTTGTAAAGAGCAATTTAACACAACTGCCTCTAGGAGTCGCCAATGGAAATAAAACAGACACGCACAAAAAATGTACGTACGCCAGCCAGAAAGCTGGCGTGGAGCTGCGCACATCCCCACGTTCAGTTCATTGTTAGTAAATCCAAACGTGAGAGATTCTGAGCGTGAAACCTGGCGTACGCAAAGTTTTTGTGCGTACGCAGCGTTGATACATGACGCCCCAGATCTGCTGAACAATGGACTACATATTCAGTCATGCCACACACACACACCTGAATATAAGCATTATTTCACGAATGATTCTACGAAAAATCTTCAAGTATTCTTTACATATTTAGATATTTTTTTAAAAATGCAAAAAAAAAAAAAAACATTTTATTTATTAATAAATGGCCTTTTTCTAGACATCCAAGGTTGCCCTCCAATAAACATTTATTAAAGCAATCAATAAAACATAATAAATCCCATCTTAAACGCATTAAAGAAAAAGAAACATACTCTCCTGGTCTCCTTCAGGCCGTAGAGGCGTCTCTTGCGGTCTGCAGTGTTTTTAGCACGTCTTGAGCATCGTGAGGAAGTCTGAGAGCTTCTATAGTGTAAGAAGGAGACATCAGAAGAATGTTAAGCACAAGTTTCAAGAGTTTCTGGGTCATTGAACTTATAACTGAAATATTGCAACAGAACATTTGGTTTGTTTTTGAGGGCTAAGATTTGTTTGTTTGTTTGACTTTATTAAGTTTCCAGCCTCCGCCGCTGGGACTGCAGCTCTGCACAAGACGTTTGGCCAGTGGAGAAATTACAATGGTCATGGCCAACTGAGTCTGGTTTCTCTTAAGGTTTTTTCTTCACTTTCGCTAATTGGTGAAGTCTTTCCTTTGTCGCTGTCGCCACTGGCTTGCTTGGTTCGGGATCAGTAGAGCAACGCATCTATGGATTTACTCTTCAGTGTTTGGACTCTCAGTAGTGATTATTAAACCACACTGAACTGAGCTAAACTGAACTGAACTTAAACACTAAAAACTGAGTTACTCTGTTTCAATTTACTATGATCTTCTATGTGAAGCTGCTTTGACACAATCTACATTGTAAAAGCGCTGTACAAATAAAGCTGAATTGAATTGAATCAACAGATTCAGTTCAAGTGTTAATAGATAATGAAATACCTGTGTGAGAGCTGCTGTCCGGCAAAATGAGAAGTGATCGCATTCAGTCCACCTGCACTAAAAGCTCTTATTCCTGGTTTTAATCTCTTTTTGAGAGCGACGTCCCGGGACAAAACCTTCAGAGACAGAAACCGCCATCCGTTTTCCCTTCCACCCACACATGCAGGAAGCTCATCCAGATGACTGTTATACTGAACAGCAGAAAACAAGTAAATAAGTATGTCAGTTATATTTATATAGCACATTTATTAGAGTAAAACTGCCCAATGTGCTGATTGGAGCAAAAATAAGAGGAATAAAACAAATGTGTTCAGTGGTTATATTTCCTGGGGTTCGACTGATAAAATTTACATCTAATTATCATCAAAACTATTACAAAAAACAAAAATTACATTCAATTAAAACAACAGTATGACGATATTGTCGCCTAAGAGCAAGAAGGTCTCTAGTTCGAGTCCCGCCTGGGCCAGTTGGCATTTCTGTGTGGAGTTTGCATGTTCTCCCCGTGTTGGCGTGGGTTTCCTCCGGGTTCCTCCACAAGTCCAAACACATGTGCTATAGGCCCTCATTGTCAGGGGTCACCACAGCGGAATGTACCACCAACTATTCCAGCATATGTTTTACGCAGCGTATGCCCTTCCAGCTGCAACCCAGTACTGGAAAGCACCCATATACTCTCTCATTCACACACATACACTACAGCCAATTAAGTTCATTCAGTTCACCTATGGCGCATGTGTTTGGACTGTGGGGGAAACCGGAGCACTCGGAGGAAACTCAGGCCAACACAGGGAGAACATGCAAACTCCGCACAGAAATGCCATATTCATTCATTTTCTTTGCGGCTTAGTGCCTTTATTATTCTGGGGTCAACACAGCAGAATGAACCGCCAACTTTCCAGCATGTGTTTTACATAGCAGATGACCTTTCAGCTGCAACCCATCACTGAGAAACACCCATACACTCTTACATTCACACACATACACTATAGACAATTCAGCCTACCCAGTTCTCCTATAGTGCATGTGTTTGGGCTGTTGGCGAAACTGGAGCACCCGGAGGAAACCCACGCCAACACGGAAAGAACATGCAAACTCCACACATAAATGCTAACTGACTCAGCCGGGACTCAAACCAGCGACCTTCTTGCTGTGAGGCGATCGTGCTACTCGCCTGACCACCATGACGCCAAAATAAATAAATATTTTACATGATAATAAAAACTAGTTTTTAATAATTTAATTATTTGGCAGTGATGCTAAAATTACAGAGCACCAGCTTTCCTGACCTGACCGGAGGAAGCGAGGAGTTTTTCCCCAGACAAATACTGTCTTCTTCCTCCTCCAGTGTGGAAAATCTTGAACACAAGTGAAGGTGGAAACCGAGGACCAGCAAATCTGAAGAGAAATTCAAAGTTTACTGATTAACTTGAGAAATATTTAATGGAATAAAATACTCGACAGAGTGGGATCAGGAAACAGTGGGTCACAATAGTCTTTAAATGCCATAAGTGAAATGACTTTTAAAATAAAAACAAATGTGGGCGGGGCTTGGATTTGTCCCTGGATGTGATTGGATGGGTGTGGTTCGCCATCTCATGTGATTGACAGGTTGACCCCGCCCTGTTGACTTATAAGCACCAATCAGAGAAGTTGCTGAAGAGGGAGGAATTATTTTGACAGTTTATCTGTGATGCATGTTCCCTGTTTTAATTATACGCTGCTTAACTGTTGTGTGAAGAACATCCACCTGAATCTGAGCTTGCACTTCAGACTGGGGTCTTTCAGGAGATCGGCTTCTTTAGGACTGAGCTGACGCAGAACTGCTGATGCCAGACACTGCTCCTGAGACACACACACACCACTAAAATTACTGCAGAAAAAGTGCTGACAGGAACGTAATGGGAAGAAAATCAATCCCACATCTAATAAATGTCTTGCTCTTCTGTAAGAAAATAATTAAATTGAAGTCTGAGTGACTGGTGTGCAGAATAAGTCGTGTTTACGCTGTAAAGATAGCAAAAGTTGACAAGTTTAGGTGCGTATTTACTGCATTTTAAATAAAATCAGGAATTATTTATTTTTGTAGTACTTTAAATAACTATACACTCACCGGCCACTTTATTAGGTACACCTGTCCAACTTCTCGTTATCGCAAATTTCTAATCAGCCAATCACATGGCAGCAATTCAATGCATTTCGGCATGTAGACATGGTCAAGATGATCTGCTGCAGTTCAAAGCGAGCATCAGAATGGGGAAGAAAGGGGATTTAAGTGACTTTGAACATAGCATGGTTGTTGGTGCCAGACGAGCTGAGTATTTCAAAAACTGCTGATCTACTGGGATTTTCACGCACAACCATCTCTAGTGTTTACAGAGAATGGTCTGAAAAAGAGGAAATATCCAGTGAGCGGCAGTTCTGTTTGTGCAAATGCTTTGTTGATGCCAGAGATCAGAGGAGAATGGCCAGACTGGTTCCAGCTGATGGAAAAGTAACTCAAATAAGCACTCGCTACAACCGAGGTCTGCAGAAGAGCATCTCTGAACACACAACACGTCCAACCTTGAGTCGGATGGGCTACAGCAGCAGAAGACCACACCGGGTGACGCTCCTGTCAGCTAAGAACAGGAAATTGAGGCTACAATTCACACAGGCTCACCAAAACTGGACAATAGAAGATTGGAGAAACGTTGCCTGCTCTGATGAGTCTCCATTTCTGCTGCCACATTCAGATACTCGGCTCAGAATTTGGGGTCAACAACATGAAAGCATGGATCCATCTTGCTTTGTATCAACGGTTCAGGCTGGTGGTGGTGGTGTAATGGTGTGAAGGATATTTTCTTGGCACACTTTGGGCCCATTAGTACAAATGAGTATTGTGTCAACGCCACAGCCTGCCTGAGTATTGCTGCTGACCATGTCCATCCCTTTATGACCACAGTATCTCCATCTTCTGATGGCTACTTCCAGCAGGATAACGCACCATGTCATAAAGCGTGAATTATCTCAGACTGGTTTCTTGAACATGACAATGAGTTCACTGTACTTAAAGAGCCTCCACAGACACCAGAGCTCAATCCAATAGAGCACCTTTGGGATGTGGTGGAACGGGAGATTCACATCATGGATGTGCAGCCGACAAACCTGCAGCAACTGTGTGATGCTATCATGTCAACATGGAGCAAAATCTCTGAGGAATATTTCCAGTACCTTGTTGAATCTATGCCATGAAGGATTAAGAAAGGTTCTAAAGGCAAAAGGGGGTCTAACCCGGTACTAGTAAGCTGTACCTAATAAAGTGGCCGGAGAGTGTATGTATTTTAGATGCATTTTATTTTTTACAGCACAATATTAATATTTAACCTCCATTTGATCTCACATCTACAAACATTATATCAGTGTTTAAACTTTGAATTTTAATCATAAAATTTTATAAAATTATACTTTTTAAACTCCATTACATCTACACCTACAAACACTGTATCAGTGTTTAAACTTTCATCAAACTTTAATCAAAGCAAGTGAAGATTTAGAAGTATGTTAAAATAATATAATAAACAAATAAATTTTCCACGATATTAAAGGTTTAAACATAAATAATTACAGCAAATGCAGCATTAGAATATCGATGGATGGATGGACGGATGGATGTATGGATAGAAATTATGTGTGTATATGTTTATTAAATGCACAACAAATTAACATTTTGATTTTATTATTATCACAATAATATATAATTTAACTTTTTCGACAAACATTTTGGTTCATTAGTCATTTTTTAGTTCGCAAATAATAAAAAATACTATTAAAATATCATATGGCTGATGGTTTTAAACTTACAGCTGATCGTACAGTATTCATCAGGAGTCTGAAGAGTCGCCTGTCTCTGAATGATCTCCAACACGCCTGTATTTTTCTGGCACAATCCTCATAACTCTGCATTCTGAATCATAAAGAACAATTTAGCTTATTAGCAATGTATTATCAAAACATTAGCGCCATTATAACGTGTCAAACGCCACTGAGCTCTTTTATAACAACCGCGTTCACCTGCTCACCGACAAAACAAAACTTCCGTTGACTCTTGGTTGCTAAGAAACCAATGAAAAGCTTAAAAACAAAAGATAATCCATGTATTTTCATTATGAAAGCTTTCCTCGTCAAGACAAAATGGAAATATTATAAAATTAAATAAATACTGACGTAAATAACGCACGGATTAAAGAAAAAAAAAATCAATGCGAAAAAAAGATTTGGCGCAAAAACACCGCCAAGGGCGCCACGGCCACCCCAATATGACTTTGCTGTTAATATTATTAATTTAAATGTAGCCTACTTACGTAAATGTACAATATTTAAATGAATAAATAAATAAAATGCAGCCACTAAATTATTATTGATTGATTGCAGCAAGGCACCTAACCTAGATTTAATCTTAATCGTGAAGACAGGGTCAGGGATGCCCTACTTGCTAACTTTATCAAACAGAGCAAGTAACTGCAAGTTACTTACTGGTATCATCTCCATAAGCCAATTAGCAGATTTTTTTTTTTTTAAAGATGTAAGAGATTCCAATAGCTATTAATATTATCCATACATTTTCCAGAGCTTCAGGCATTTACTTGAATATCAGTAAGTGTGAATTAATTTCTCTTAAGGATTGTAATTTATCTTCTGTTTGTGGAATCCCTATAAAAGATGAAATTCAAGTATTATTCATAGGAGTATTATTCATATTATTAATTGAAAAAAACTATTAATTACTCATTTAATAATTAATGTAACTGATCAAATCAGTGCAGTCTTAATGTCCCTTAAAGAGACAATAAAAATACAAACATTAATGTTCATAATGACCTAGTTACTGATGATGGACAAAAATGCTGACTGATGATTCTATTATTTCAGGATAAGAAAGAAGCCTGCTACAAGAGAGGAAGGGATCCGAGCCTCCAAGATGTTTTTATTGGGATCTGCTGATCATGAGGGGGAAGACAAAAGAAACTGCATTTTCCTTCAGCTTAATATCAGGGGTCTACCCCAACCCCAAACCCAACCATCACAGTAATCTAAAAACTGTAATTATACAGAGTGTTATTCATATTATTTATTAAATTACCCATTAATTATACTTTATTAACGTCTACTCTGACCCCAACCCTAAACCCAAATCACAATAATGTAAAAACTTATACAGAGTGTTATTCATATTATTTATTAAATTACCCATTAATTATAGTTTGTTAACGTCTACCCTGACCCCAACCCTAAACCAAACCGTCACAGTAATGTAAAACCCTAATTATACAGAGTATTATTCATATTATTTATTAAATTACCCATTAATTATAGTTTATTAACGTCTACACCGACCCCAACCCTAAACCAAATCACCACAATAATCTGAAAACAGTACTTATACTGTGTATTATTGATATTATTTATTAAATTACCCATTAATTATAGTTTATTAACATCTACCCCAACCCTAATAATAAACCCAACCATCACAGTAATTTAAAAACAGTAATTATACCGAGTATTATTCATATTATTTATTAAATGACACATTAATTATTAACGTCTACCCCCACCCAACCCTAAACCCAACCATCACAGTACCCTAAAACAGTAATTATACTGAGTGTTATTCATATTATTTATTAAATTACACATTAGTTATAGTTTATTAAGGTCTACACCGACCCCAATCCTAAACCTAACCTCCACAATAATGTAAAAACAGTAACTATACTGGGTATTATTGATATTATTTATTAAATTACCCATTAATTACACTTTATTAACGTCTACCCCGACCCTAATAATAAACCCAACCATCAAAGTAATGTAAAAACAGTAATTATACAGAGTATTATTTATTAAATTACCCATTAATTATACTTTATTAACATCTACCTTGATCCCAACCATCACAGTAACCTAAAACAGTCATTATACAGAGAATTATTCATATTATTTATTAAATTACCCATTAATTATAGTTTGGTAACACTTTACAATAACAGTACATGAATAATGATGTATTCATATGTAAACTAAACATTACTTTATTATGAATTAATGATGAGTTAAGGTATGCACTAATCATGAATTAACTTTAAGTACAACATGATTCACATGAGTTCATGTGTAAATAACGGCTACCTTAATTACTTGTTAGTACATGTTGTTAATTAATGTATTAATTAACATTTAAGTTTAGGTTAAATGTAACCCACATGAACTCATGAGCTGTTATTGTATAGTTATGTCATGGCTTTACTTGGAGGGGCACATCACTATTAACTCATCCTTAACTACTCATGATCTCCTGTTGATGTTGACAGAACACTTTTCTATTGTTATTCAGTGTAAACTCACTAGTTTGACGTGCATAAGGACTTCATGAGTAGTTAAGAATCTGTTAATGATGATGTGCCCCTCCAAGTAAAGTCACAACATAATTATACATTAACATATCATGAGTTCATCATGGTTGAATTAAGCATAAACTAATGTGGTAATTAATACATTAATTAACAAACAATCATGAACTAACAAGTAATTAAGATAGCCATTATTCACACATGAACTCATGTGAATCATGTTGTAGTTAAAGTTAATTCATGATTAGTGCATACCTTAACTCATCATTAATTCATAATAAAGTAATGTTTATTTTACATATTAATACATCATTATCCATGTACTGTTATTGTAAAGTGTTACCTATAGTTTATTGACGTCTACCCCGACTTTAACCCTTAATCTAACCTCCACAGTAATGTAAAAATAATAATAGTCTCAAAAATTATGCTGTATTGATGTGCTTATCCTCAACTGTATCCCTTCTAGACTTACCCCACATGAACTGTAGGTGGCGCATGCGCATTACCGTCTGACCGCAGCCGCTCAGAAGCGAAGAAGAAGAATCCTGAAGGCTGGAGAAAATGTACAAGGTGAGAGATACAAACTTCAGCAGAGGCGCACAGTTCTCCTTCGTCACCGCAGTCCTGCTAAAACACACATAATAATCACAATCGCGCTCAATTCAGCCTTAAATACACACCTACAGAAACTTTAGTTGGTTCCATTATAAAGCGGAGCGTTTATTTTTGAGCAGGAAACACAAGGACACTGCAGAACATATTAAATTACGTTCATTATTTTACTTCTGTGATTTAAAATATGATGCTGTGTAATATTTCAGAGGTCTCTAGGCCTATAGAGTGGACTCGTTGTATATTAAAAGCGTAAATTAATGAGCGCGGTTGTATTTAATGCGATTATTGTACCGGCAGTTATTGTCAAACTCTGTTTTGGCTTTATTAAATGTGCCAGTGCCTATAATAAAAACATAGGATTGATTTAAAGTTAGTAAAACCGCTGTTATTTAAACGTTATAGTGTTTATTATTTAAATTAATTCACGTTTTTGATAACCGTTGAGTGGCGGCACGTCAGCGCTCAGGTGCGTTTTTAAAACTGAACACTAGATGGCAACAAAACACCGTGAAATCCTACAGACAACCTAAACATTGATTGATTCATTCATTTTCTTTACGGCTTAGTCCCTTTATTAATCAGGGGTCGCCACAGCGGAATGAACCGCCAACTTATCCATGTTTTATGCAGCAGATGCCCTTCCAGCTGCAACCCATCACTGGGAAAAACGCATGCACTCCCATTCACACACATACACTACAGACAGTTTAGCCTTTCCAATTCACCTATAGTGCATATGGTTGGACTGTGGGGGAAGCACCCGGATGCAAACTCCAAACATGCAAACTCCAAACACATATGCCATATGGCCAAGCCGAGGCTGGAACCAGCGACTCTCTTGCTGTGAGGCGATCGTGCTATCCACTGCGCCACCACGCCACCCCTAAATAATGATTTTTTTAACTTATAAATTCGTTAAAAATGTCAAAATTCCTTTATAAAGTATTAGAAATAGTTCTTGTCTTAGGAAAATTTTGAAAAACATTATTGATCCACCTCGAATGTTGACTATACATATATGCAAATGTATCAATAAATATATCATTATTTACACTACCTGACAAAAGTCTTGTCGTTGATTCCAGTTGTACAGTAAGAGCAACTAATAATAACTTGACTTCTAGTTGATCATTTATAAAAGTGGCATAAGGTGGATTTTCCGGATGAATTATCTGTTGAGCTGCATCCCAATCATCACTAATACTAGAGAAAGAACTACTGGAACCTGCATGGAGCCCAGCTCAAATTTGGTGAAGGAAAAGTCATGGTTTGGGTTATATTCAGTATGGGGGCGTGTGAGAGATCTGCAGAGTGGATGATCAACATCAACAGCCTGAGTTATCAAGACATTTGTGCTGCCCATCACATTACAAACCACAGTAGAGGGCAAATTCTCCAGCAGGATAGCGCTCCTCATACTTCAGCCTCCACATCAAAGCTCCTGAAAGCAAAGAAGGTCAAGGTGCTCCAGGATTGGCCAGCCCAGTCACCAGACATGAACATTATTGAGCATGTCTGGGGTAGATGAAGGAGGAGGCGTTGAAGATGAACACAAAGAGTCTTGATGAGCTCTGGGAGTCCTGCAGGAACGCTTTCTTCTTCATTCCAGATGACTTTATTAATCAGTGATTTGAGTCATGTCAGAGATGTATGGATGCAGTCCTCCAAGCTCATGATGGAGTCAGACACAATATTCATTCTGTCTCCACTGCAGCAGGACTTTATATTCTATACTGGACATTATTTCTGTTCAGTGATGAGACTTTTGTCTGAGCAAAGTCAGACCTTACTGTCCTAATGAAATCATTCATAATCAAGGCAGGATCATATTTTATTGTAGTGAAATAAGCGTCATCTAGAGGCTTTTGCTTTTCTTATGACACTTCTGATACCAAATGATCAACTATAGACGACAAGACTTTTGTCAAGTAGAGGATAAATAGTCAACATTCGAATTGGATCCAAAATGTTGTGCATCATCTGTTTGTATTGTTTTCAGAATTTTAGACGTTTATATCATTTAACATTTAATTTTTATAATAGTATATGCTCTTCTTTTGTGTTTAGCTTGTTTACATTTTGTAGTTTTAATTGTAATACTTCAACTTTTATTATTGTTGTTGTTATTTATTATTACTATTGTTATTATTATTATTTTGTTGCCATGGCAACATTTCAATTTTAACATTTATCTACGATTTTTTTATTATTTTAGCAAAATAATTAGTAGTTACTTTTTTATTTTTAATAGTTTCATAAAATTATTTTTTAAAACGTTCATGATTATTATTATTATTACTGTATTTGCCTTTTATTTGAAAAAAAAATATAAAATTATTTTCAAAACTTTATTATTATTATTATTGTTGTTGTTGTATTTCCTTTTTATTTTTAATACTTTCCTAAAATATATATTTAAACTTCCATTATTATCATCATCATTATTATTGTTTTTTAATAATTTAATAAAATATTTTTTAAACTTTCATTATTATTATTATTGTTGTATTTCCTTTTTTATTTTAATAATTTCCTAAAATATATATATTAACTTTCATTATCATTCTTGTTTTTTTATAATTTCACACAATATATTTTTTTATTTCATTATTATTATTATTATTATTATTATTATCATTACTTTTGCATTTACTTTTTATTTTTAATAATTTTATAAATTTGTAAAAGTTTCATTATTATTATTATTGTTATTATTATCATCATCATTACTTTTGTTTTTACTTTTTATTTTTTAAATTTCATATTTTTTTACTTTTATTATTAATATTATTATTATTATTATTACTTTTGCATTTACTTTTTATTTTTAATAATTTCATAAATTTGTTAAAAGTTTCATTATTATTATTATCATCATCATTACTTTTGTTTTTACTTTTTATTTTTTAAATTTCTTTTTTTTTTACTTTCATTATTAATATTATTATTATTATTATTACTTTTGTATTTAGTGTTTTATTTTTAATAATTTCATCAAATAATTTTAAAAACTTTCATTAATATTTTTTATTAAATTTAAAAACAAATATGCCATGACAACATTTAATCTAATATTAATATTTAATTTTAGCAGAACATCAATTAACAAAAACAATAGAGGCTTTAATCTGGACGCACCATTGCCTAACAATGTTGTGCCTCATCTGTATGTAAAGGACAGCAGATATGGGATGTAAACAGCGTTACGTAACAGCGTTCAACCCTTGTCCCCCACATGAACATCATCTGACCTCCAGTTTCTCCTGCCTTTGTAATGTTCGCAGTTAAACTCAGTGGGCCTTGAAGGTCCTCAAAATGGCAGCATGAGTAGTTTGAGTATGCAATTCAAGTCTATTTATTTGTACAGCGCTTTTCACATTCATTATAATTCCAATGCAGATTTACAAGTCCACATTATTACATTACTCTTCAAATCAGAAAGGTGTTGAGTAAGTTAGTGATAAATAATAACAATTATTAGCTACACAATAATTAAATTTGCTGTTTGTTATTTTCAAACCACTTATTTAAAATGAGCCAAAACAGCTAAATTTTTAAGGGGGATGTTTTACCTTAGTGCTCAAACTTAATTCCTTCTTGTTGGCCCAACACAAATCTATTTTATTTTGTGGAACCCAGCAACTTTTAGTTTAATCTACTTAATTTCTCCCCATTGGGATATTTGATTTGCAGCATACACCGACAGAGACATTTGAATATTTCATAATAGGCATTTATATAAATAGATCAATTTTCAAACTAAGGCACCACTAATCGAAATAAACATCCAGTCCACTGACCATTAAGAGGAAGAATTAAAAGTGTAAATGCTTCAGGGATCAGTTATAATTTCCACCTTTTCCTTACACATCTGGGGACACAATATCATTGACCAGATGGTAACAGTTTGAAGGTGTAAACAATTACATTGGTGTGCGTTCACGTTTACTCTGAAAAAATGATTCATTGGATTTATTAAGTTTGTTTAAGGTTGCAAACAATCTATATGGGCTGAATTGTTTGCAACCACTTACCTTAAAAAGTTGTATGTTAGTATATTAGTGTGTCATTAATATTTCGTGCTGTCCTTATAGTGTGTAAATGTGTGTGTCTATATGGTATTGACTAGGAAAGCCATGTTGACAGTGAGCACAGACTCTGATAAAGAGGTTATTTTTCTGTCTGACCGGTTTGTTGGTGCTCTCTTCTGATAGGCTGGAGGAGTCGCTGGAGCCTCTGGAACTCTGGGATTGTTTTCAGCCTCAGTGCTGGCGGCGTCCGCTGATGACAAGCCCAAAACAACACTCAGTGTAGAGGAGGTAAAGCCTGAAAATCAGCTGTGAAGAAACTAACATGAGTACACAGTCAGAAATAAGGGGACAAATCTGTCAGGGGGTGAAACCTTTTCAGAAGGTACACTTTTGCACGCTACAGGTGAACATTAGCACTTTTAGGGTGTACTTTTGTACCCTTAATGGTCCTGTGAAAGTTTTTTAAGATTTTAGGTTAAGTCTGTTAGTTTTAAGGATATCTATTAGCTAGTATGCTACAAAACAGTGACAAGATACACATTTAGAAGATGTAAAGCTGATATAATAGGGGTGTAACGATTTATCGTTGTACGATTTATTGCGATGCAAAAATGTCTCAATATGCATCGTGGCGTTATGACGATTTGATTACGATATGACGTCCGTTTTCTCTTATTAGTTGAGCTGTTTGCATGTGAGCTACGTTCCACCTGCTGTCGCACGTGAGTTCAGATTGCAGCAGCAGTAATGTTAGCAGACCAAGATGAGTGAAGCTGAAATAGAGGATGGCCCATCCTCTCAAAATCAGACGTCTGGCAACATTTCGGTTGTCCAGTCATTGCTTTAGACTCGTCCGCTTTTTGACACGCATACTGGGTCAAACATCCTAAGTTTTAAAGTCTTCACAGTGATTTACATACTTTGCACAGTGACAGAGATACCTCCTAATGGTGTTGAAAGAGTCACATACTGTATTTATAAGGTACAATTCACCCTAAAATATCATTCTGTCTTCAAATAATGTTCCCGCCGCAAAATCACACATGACGTGAGCTGTTACTACAGAGGGCGGACTTTGATAGACGCGCACGTATGGCAAGCCGTTTTAGCATTTAAACCTTTGTTGTGACTATCCATAAATATATTTTGAGATATCTCTAATTATATTTTGACTAGACATAATTATAATTCGACTAGTCAGAATGACAATTAGAGATATCTGCAATTACAATTGTACTAGTACGATATCAGATTGAAGATATCTGCAAAAATATTATGACTAGTCATATTCCTCCATTGACTTCCATTGAAAAATATTTGCAGATATCTCTAAATGAGTTTTGACTAGTCACAATTGTAATTAGAGATATTTCTAAATGAATTTAATTAAATATGAATTAAATACCTGGAAATGTGGCTAATAAGTTCAATAATGGCTAGTAATGTTCAATAATATTTTAAGAAGTTTTTTAATTGTTTTATTTTCCAGGGACAGGCCTGTTTAATTTATTTTCGTAAAGAAGGTTCAGTTTAACAAGTTGAAACAAAAGAAATACATAAAAAATAGTTTACTTGGTAAAATTTGCATTTCAGTTTAATTTTAAATTTTTATTCCAAATATCGTGATACATATTGAATCATGAACATTATATCGTGATACACATCGTATCGTGAGCTGAGTGTATCGTTACACCCCTATGATATAAACATGTAAAGCTTGCAGTTTGCCACTTCCGCATTAATGGATCTTTTTTTTACCTCAGTTTCCCATCAAATCTTCTGACCAATCAAATGCTCTCTAGTATCTGATATGCCCTGTCCCCTTTGAACCACTTTTCGTGTGATGTGCTTGAGCTCAAACATAGAATAAAACATTTCAAAGCACTTCACGGTCGATGTACCGCCCCGTTGGGGTGAAGAAGGAGCTGAGCTGAAAGGCAAAGCTCTCGATTTCCCAGTCGATCTACTCTCCTACTTTCACCTATGGTCATGAGCTTTGGGTCATGACTGAAAGGACAAGATCTGGGATACAAGCGGCCGACATGAGTTTCCTTCACAGGGTGGCAGGGTGGCACCCTTATGGACAGGGTGAGGAGCTTTGACACCTGGGAGGAGCTCAGACTAGAGCCGCTGCTCCTCCACAGTGAGAGAAGTCAGCTGAAGTGGCTCATGCATCTGTTTCAGATGCCTCCTGGACGCCTACCTAGGCAGGTGTTCCAGGCATGTCCCACCGGGAGGAGGCCTCGGGGGAGACCCAGGACATGCTGGAGGGACTATGTCTCTTGGCTGGCCTGGGAACATCTCGGGTTCCCCCCGGAGGAAATATCTGGGGTTCCTTCCAAGACTGCTGCCCCCGCAACCCAGCCCCGGAAAAGCAGTTGAAAATGTATGAATGAATTAATTCACGGGAGTATTAATATATCCCTTTAAGGACCTGTCAGGAACAGAACTGTTCCTTTTAATAAGGTATCGCCCAGGGACAGACCTCTCTTTCTGGGTCTATAAAAATATATCTTGTAAGTTGTTTTTTTAATTGATTTGTAATAATTATTATTATTATTTATTTTATGTAAGTATTTTTTCACTAAACCTGTCCGGGGTAAGTTATGGGTTATGGGGTTTGATTTACTGTAAAACTCAAAGACATGTTATACAAAATGAGTAAAAGATAGTGAGAATCAGAGTATTAGTTTAGTTACTTGTTTTAGATCATGCTGGTTTGAGATTTAGTTCATGCAGTGAAGGTGAGATTTACCACTGAACCATAAATAAATGGAAAAGAGTAAAAATGTACACAAGCTTTTCAGAATTAAGGCAAGGCGTTTATTTTGTAAAGCACATTTCATACTAAATGTTTATTCAGAGTGCTTTACATGAGAAAATTGTTAAAACGAATTAGAAAATAATCACAAAATAAGTATAAACGTTTATATTTTAAATAAAACAAAGAAAAAAATGTTTAAAATAATTAAATCTAAAAATATGTAATATTTTTTTATATAATTATATAACATACATTTTTATAATAAAAAAAAAACACATTTAATTGCTTAATTACATTTTTTTATTAATATAAGTGAGATCCAAGATGATGACCTGCCACAGATAACTGTCCCTGGCGTCTGGCTTAGATCAAGACTTTTTATTACGTTTGACTGAACATCAAATCTGTTGGAGACGTTCAATAGATTAATAAGTAGCGAAAAAGTCCACAGAGAGGGGGTGATCACCAGAATGGAGAAGTCCCAGAGTAAAATGAGAAAATATGATACACCGGTGTTTTGGAATGTGGAAAAACTGTATCTGATGGAGCAGTTAAAAGATTTAACTTGAGCCATCACCATACTGGTAGATCTGTCTTTGTGGGATAGCAGCGTAATTAATATAAGTGAGATCCGAGACGTGACTCGCCACAGATAATCTGTTGCAGGGGGGTAAAGTCTCTGGCTGAGATCAAGATCTTTTATTTGTTTGGCTAGCTGTAGGCTGTACTCACACTATGTAAAGTTGTCTTGAACCGTTCCGAATCACGCTTGTCCCCACTCTAGTCTCCCCCGACGGCCCGCACTCACATTGTATTCAATCCTGGGCACGCTTACATCATCGATGATGCGCTGTTCAGTAAGAAGCGCTCTCTCTCAGCACAGTGGAGATTTCTTTAGTTATATCGCTTTAGTCATTTGGGATGCGGTGACACGCAGTCAAATAATTCGACAAACTAATCAGCCACTTTTGACGCTCATAAGCAATCATAAAGTCCTCGTGCTGCAGGAATTAGGAGGTTTGCTGAAGGTGCAGCTGTGGTGCAATGAGGGGTTTGCCTCTTTAATAATCTACGAAAGTTTGCGTTCACTGAACAGTAAGGCCGTACTCACACTAGGTACAGTTGCCTCGAACTGTAAAAGCACGCTTGTCCCTCCTCCCGTCTCCCCCGATGGCCCGCACTCACACCACAAACGGGCCTCGGCACGCTTACGTCATCGCTGCTGCGCTGTTCAGTGAGAAGCCCTCTCTCACTCAGCAGCACAATGGAGATTTCTCTAGTTATACAGTTTCAGTTATTTGATATGCGGTGACACGCAGTCAGATATTTCGCCGAACAGATCTGCCACTTTTGCCACTCATAAACAATCATAAAGCTCTCGTGCTGCAGGAATGAGGAGGTCTGCTGAAGGTGCAGCTGTCGTGCAGTGAGGGGTTTGCGTCTTTAATAAACTACGGCAGTTTGCGTTCACTGAACAGTAAGAATGATTAATAAATCCATGTGAAACAGTCCCTTAAAAGTCACGTCTCACTTTCAGTTTCGGGCTTTGGTGCGTTTTGCACTCACACACAAGCGTACCGCGCCAAAGCCCAAGTGAACCGCGCTTAGGCACACCTCTTCCAACCGGGCCAGGGCCGGCCAAGTGAACCGGGCTTGAGCCCGATTCAGCTCACTCACACTTCTCAAACGATCCGAGAAACGGGACTGGGCACGGTACGGATGGCATAGTGTGAGTAGGCCCTAAGAATGATTAATAAACACATATTAAACAGTCCCTTAAAAGTCATGTCTCGTCTTCAGTTTCAGGCTCAGGCATGCTTTGCACTCACACTACAAGTGTACTGCGCCAAAGCCCAAGTGAACCCCAATTCAGTGCACTCACACTTCTCAAACGATCCGGGAAACGGGCCTGGGCATGGTTCAGATAGCCTAGTGTGAGTACGCTCTGAAGCGATCTACTCCCGGTAGGGGGTAGAAATCAGGGATCGTGCGATTTACTTCCAGACGGAAGTTGAAGTTGGGGGGCACATGATTAGAGCTGTAAAGCTTAACTTTTCAATTTTAGGTGAAAAATCTAATCTGTAGGAGACGTCCAATAGATCAATGTAAAAAAGAAATATGTAAGATACTAAGGCCGTACTCACACTATGTACAGTTGTCTTGCACCGGGCCAAAGCATACCTGTTTCCCCTCCTGTCTCCCCGACGGCCCGCACTCACATCACAATCGGGCCTGGGCACGCTTACATCATCAATGATGCGCTGGTCAGTTTAACAGAAGAGAAGCGCTCTCGCTCAGCACAGTGGAGATTTCTTTAGTTATATCATTTAAGTAGTTTGATATGCGGTCACACACAGTATAATATTTACTGAACAGATCCGCCACTTTTGATGCTCATAAACAATCATAAAGTTCTCGTGCTGCAGGAATTAGGAGGTTTGCTGAAGGTGCAGCTGTCGTGCAGTGAGGAGTTTGCGTCTTTAATAAACTACGGCAGTTTGCGTTCACTGAACGGTAAGAATGATTAATAAATCCATATGAAACAGTCCCTTAAAAGTCACGTCTCTCTTTCAGTTTCGGGCTTAGGTGAGTTTTGCACTTACACTACAAGCGCACCGCACCGTACCAAAGCCCAAGTGAACCGTGCTCTGGCACACCTCTTCCAAGCGGGCCAAGGCCGGGCAACTGAACCGTGCCTGAGCCCCATTCAGTGCGCTCACACTTTTGAAACAATCCGGGAAATGGGCCTGTGCACGGTTCGGATAGCATAATGTGAGTACGTCCTAAAACAGTTTAAAAACAAAGAAAATGAAAGAAATTTACATTAGGAATGTCAGTATAGCAAAATGCCATTAATTAAGGCAAGCACTTTGTAAAGCACTTTCTGTTGCATTTTCTAAAATGTTGCATTTTAATACTTTATTGTTGTATGTCAGAATTTTCCTTGGTATTATTGAATATAATAAGAATAATATAAATGATAAAAACCTCAGATGCATTACAGCAATAACAGTTTGAACAGGAAAATGTGCTGAAGCGTCATGAAAATAATATAAATAATGCTAAATTAGGTATTTTCTTTTGTTCAAAACACCTAAATGATGCACTGCGAAACAAATGAGTTGAACGCTAAGCTCAAAAGTTTCATTACAATCACAAAGAACTCAAGTGTCAAATGTTCAGATGCGTAGATGGAGAAATAATGTCATAATGCAACGGATATTAAAGTGGCTGCCTTTTTTTCTTGCTAAATAAAATGTCTTATGTTTGATGGTTGTCTGTGTGTGTGTGTGTGTGTGTGTGTGTGTGTGTGTGTGTGTGTGTGTGTGTGTGTGTGTGTGTGTGTGTGTGTAGTTGTCTCTGTATAGTGTGCCACAGCAGAACATCCAGCCGGTGGAGTCTGAGAGAGGACAGCTGGAGGAGAGAGTGGCTGAACTCAGACTAATGACAGAGCCATATCTCACCTGGTGTCAGGTACACACACACACACAAACAATCAAACTCACAATCACACGTGCACATACACTGTCACACATTTGTTTGCAGACACACTGCACAGTTGAGCAGACACACTCTCACACACCTAGCCTCTTACACACACACTTTCACACATGCACACTCAGTCAGTCAGTCGCACACCAAACACACACTGATTCAGTCATGTGTGCATTTGCAGACACACAAACTCAAACACACATTCACACAAATCACACTCATACACTCACAAAATTAAACACTCAGTTCATTTGCACACATCATAAGTTGCGCAGACACACTCACACACATTCTCATACTCACAAACACCCAGTCACATGTTCGCTTGCACACACTCAGATGCAGACACCTTCACACATAACGTCTCGTACACAAACTCACACACACATACTCAGACTTTTGCACTCACAGACACACACTCACTTTGCACACAGTTGCACAGACAGACTCACTCACGCACACACACACACACACACACACACACACTGTCTCTTACACACTAGTGTAATTTAAGCTCACAGTCATTAAGGCATTAAACCACTGATCTATACTGGAGAACTGTAGAGATCAGTGCATTAAACACATTCATCATTAGCATGAGCGTACAGCCGTTTCAGCATGTCCACTGCTTTGCTCTGCATGGCTCTTTCTGTCTTTACATCCCTCAAAGAAGCACTTCTCTACAATCAGCACACAGCACAACACTTCAAATCAACTCAACATTTATTTTTTCATCCCAAAAAGTTAGCACTGGTGAAGTAAATCATGTTAAAGGAGAACATTTAGTGTGTTCGTGCATGTTAAATTAAGATGAATAAACGTTTAGATACCATTTATAATAAGATATACAAAAAGTCAAGGTAAAACACAAATATTCTCACTCGCTGGCCACTTTATTAGGTACACCTGTCCAACTGCTCGCTAACGCAAATAATCAGCCAATCGCATGGCAGCAACTCAATGCATTTCGGCATTTAGACATGATCAAGATGATCTGCAGTTCATAGCGAGCATCAGAATGGGGAAGAAAGGGGGATTTAAGTCACTTTGAACGTGGCATAGTTGTTGGTGCCAGACCGGCTGGTCTGAGTATTTCAGAAACTGTTGATCTGCTGGGATTTTCATGCACAACTATCTCTAGGGTTTACAGAGAATGGTCAGAAAAAAAATCAGTGAGCGGCAGTTCTGTTGGCGCAAATGCCTTGTTGGTGCCAGAGGTCAGCTAAGAACAGGAAACTGAGGCTACAATTCACACAGGCTCAACAAAACTGGACCATAGTAGATTGGAGAAACCTTGTCTGGTCTGATGAGTCTCCATTTCTGTTGCAACGTTCGGATGGTAGGGTCAGAATGAAAGCATGGATCCATCCTGCCTTGTATCAATGGTTCAGGCTGATGGTGGTGGTGTAATGGTGTGGGGGATATTTTCTTGGCACACTTTGGGCTCATTAGTACCAATTGAGCATCGTGTCAATGCCACAGCCTACCTGAGTATTGCTGCTGACCATGTCCATCCCTTTATGAGCACAGTGTCTCAATCTTCTGATGGCTGCTTCCAGCAGGATAACAGACCATGTCATAAAGCGTGAATCATCTCAGATTGGTTCCTTGAACATGACAATGAGTTCACTGTACTCAAATGGCCTCCACAGCCACCAGATTTCAACCCAATAGAGCACCTTTGAGGTGTGGTGTAACAGGAGATTGGCATTATGGATGTGCAGCTGACAAATCTGCAGCTACTGCATGATGCTGTCATGTCAACATGGAGCAAAATCTCTGAGGAATATTTCCAGTACCTTGTTGAGTCTCTGCCATGAAGGATTAAGGCAGTTCTGAAGACAAAGGTGGTCCAACCCAGAACTAATAAGGCGTACCTAATAAATTGGCCAGTGAGTGTATATACTTTTTAATCAAACCTTTTTTTTTGCAAATAATTATGACAATAAAACTCAATTCTCTGTGTGTTTTCTCTATAGTGCTCCTCTCTGGTGATTTACAGTCTTTTATACTCATTTGTAAGTCACTTCGGATAAAAGCGTCTGCTAAATAAATAAATGTAAATGTAACGTGAAAGCTTTTGGGATGAAATGTGATGCAAACATGCGAGAATAACCTATTCAAAATAATATTACAGCACTCATAACCAGTTATAATATTAGTAGAGCAGACGATAAATAAAATAATAGACTGAATATTATTGCTGCTACTAAATAAAGTAGTAAACTGAAGAAAAAATCCTAAATATTTAATCGATTAATCATATTTTCCAGTCTAATTGATTTCTGAATTCGCTGTTTAATTTACTAAAGCTGCATTTTATAAGATTCAATGCTGTTTTTCTGCATTTGAAAACATCAAACATTTTCTCTCTTTTTTTTCTTGTTTGCACATTTGGTACACCAACAGCAGCTGTTCAAAGTGTAGTACAGAATGTTCTGCGGTCAAAGGTCAAGCTCTGTGTACAGCATCTGTGACATGATGATGATGACCACAGAAAATAATAATAAATATTCCCTGGTCATGTGTACAGTAACGCACTTACAGTGAATACAGTAACTTTTATCCTGATACACACAGGAGTAAACCGAAACATATACATTGATAAAATCTCACTTTAAAGGCACACATGACATATTTTTCCACTGCAGACTCTATTTTAACGACCTTGGCGCAAAGTCTAAAGCACATGGTGCAAAAGCATCAAGAGCGTGTCTGAATCCACTTTTGCTATTTTAAGGACGAATAAATCCGCTCTGTGAACAGGGCTGAGTTTATTCTCTTAATGAGTTATAGGTGTGTTTTGAGAATAAACCAATCAGAGTCTCATCTCTTATTCCCTTTAAGAGTCATTTGTGTCGCGCCATAGCGCATGTGCTATTTGCATGATGGACTTTGTAAGTGTAAAAACTGAACACTTCACTAGCGAGAAAACAGTTAAACAGAGCATCTGCAGCGCGAGGATAAAGAACAAGCCTCCTCCATTCAGCCTCTTTACTTTCTCTTTCACTTTCTCTCTTTCCTGGATAAGGAAATGGTGGAAAACCCACTCCACTGAACACATCCATTAGCCTACATATTTAATTTAATTTAAGCACAAAGATTTGTTTTAAAACTATTTCTAAATTCAGTTCTAATTTCCAGCAAACAAATAAATGAACAATAATAACGAAGTGTGCTCAAACAACGAGTTATATCCAAACACACGTCCTGTTCTTATGCCCCATATGGTCCAAAACCCTTACAGTTGGAAAAGTCTCAACTTGTTTTTAATGAACAAGTATAAATATGCATATAATAACTAATACTAATGATAATAACTATATAAATTGTCATGAATAAACTGAAAAAAGCCCTCCGAGGTGAAGGCATGTAGGCAATAGTTTTTATATTCATATTTTATATTCATATAGAAAATAATCTTTGTAATATTTGAATTGTTTAATTCTTTGTATTGCTGTACATCCTGTGTGTATTAAGCAATGTGTACGTGTTTAAGGCGCATAACTTACATGCTGTGCGCTGGATTTTGGACCGGTTATTAGTTTGTCTATTGCACATTCTATTTTAGTTCCTCAAAATTGCAACGCACCAACAATGCGCCTTAGCACACCTGCTTTCTAGACCGATACACCCATACGTCTACAAAGTGGCGCAAATGAATTTGCCATTTAAACAACGTGGCGCAAACCAGGAAAATCACTGTTGCGCTGGTCTGAAAATAGCAACACATTGCGGCAAACAGGTTTTGCGCATTATTGTCAATATAAAAAGGTAAATATGTGCATTACTGTAAACATGACTTGTTGCCTTTTTTCAAATTAAGGAGATTGGGTTATTTCATTTGATTTTTTTTGCTTTTACAGTGCTGAACTTAAATGACACTCCCTTTTAAAAATTTATATTTGTCAATTTTCTCAGTGTATATGACCAGTGTATGTTTTGGTGCATTTAAACAAAACATTTTTATTATTTGATTATTTTAGCATTTAATAATAAATGTAATTATTAACATTATTATTATTATTATTATTAATAATTTAATAATTAATATTGTTATTATTGCACATAATAATGCACATAATAATTAGAATATACAGTTGAAGTGAAAATTATTCATTTTTAATTATATTATATTTTTCCCCACTTTCTTTTTTCAACAGATGATAATTTTATTGACTCATTTCTAATAACTGATTTTATTTAATTTCTTCAAATGAAGCTATTACCTTTTTTCTGCTGTGAAGTTGGCCATTTTAACAGTGGTCAGAGCACTCACTTTGATCCCCTAGGCTCTGCTTTAGTTGGGAAAATTCTAAATGGAACCAAAACAAACAATTGGCAATGAAAATTCAGGACATTGCAACCTGCCGAACCTGGGAATTAAAAAATATTTTTATATTTATATAATATTTATTTATTTTGTTTCCAAAAGTGCAAGTTATTAATTTTCAGTTTTTTAAAATAAAAAGCGACTATTGGTTTTAGGCACTGTGTGCTTTAATTTCAGTTGTCCAGAGGTAATGATATAATCATAGATAGAAGATTGTGTGAGTGTGTTTTTTTCTATTATTTTAAAATCAAGCATTGCACCATTTATTCAAACATCTCTCACTTGTAATATATGCGAGCATATTTACTGCACAAAACTTGTCAGTGAACTATGAGGGCAAAAAAATTAAATAATCGTCCATCAATCGTAATAGAGTTAAAATATTTTGTGAAATAGAAAATATGATTTTTGGCCTAATCGCCCAGCCCTATGTTAAACATCATTTAGGAAATATTTAAAAAAAGAAATTCACAAGACTACAATTAATTTTGACTACTTTAACTGTATAAATATAAATAACTAAAATATAGTTGGCATTAAATATAAAAAGTTAATTACAAGTAATTGAACACTATTATGCTTTTAGTTGACTGTAACATCCCTTTAAGGAAATAACTGTAGTTATTTGATCTGTGTTGTTCATCAT